ATGTTTTCAACATGCAAATATATGCCTGCGCCACCGTTGGATGTTTGGGCCACGAGTATGGCTGCCCCTCCATCCTTCATTACCTGACCCGTTATATCGTTGTTGCCGGTTAAAATCCTGCTCAAGTGTTAATCATGGACCAGGGGATGTGGTGGTAGGTCTACGGGCGTCTCTGGCCACGTCAGCCACTTGCCCTCTCACCCGCCTACGGTCTTCTTGACTCTGTCTTAACATCGAGATTCGTTGGGCGGGAAGGAGAGAGTGCGATCGATGATGCGCGAGTCTTCTACCACTATAAACTAAACAACTATAAACAACCAACTCTATAGACGAAGTAGACGGCGTCGCTATAGTCTCACCCATTGGGCTTTTCCTAGCCGATGTCTTCATGGGCAAATTTGAGAGATTCCAACTAAGCGATCACATCGATAAGCTTAAACATTACGGTCACCGTGTTGATGACATCTTTTCGATTGCTACTGCAGAAACCGAAGTAGCTGCCCTTTTATATGTCGCAAATCAGGCACATCCATCGATCAGTTTCACGTTGGCGATCGAAACGGCCGGCTCATTTCGTTTCTTAGATGCTCTCCTAAGCAGGAGACCTGACAGGAGTGTCCGAACAAGCGTCTATCGGAAGAAAATCTGGTCTGGACAGTAGACGAACTTTGCCAGTTTCGTACTTCTTTAACAAAACCAAAATCTAGTCCGACGTTTAGAACAAAGAGCTAGAAAAATTTGCCCAACAGATAGCATCGAGGAGGAGCTCAGAAAACGCCAGGACTTCCTTCGCGAAAACAGGTATCCGGACAGGTTAATTGCAAAGAACATTGCCGAACGACCGAGCAAACCCGCAACACCGAAAGGCGAAAAGAAAACTGTGTTCAGATTGACAAAGTTGAGATATCCGGTTTAATTATTTGAAGATGAAGATAGGCTCTAGCGGACTGCGTCAACTCAAGCACAACTGCACTTCCTCCACCGCTACCTTGACAACCAATTGACCCCAAGGAGTGTCACTTACAAGCCTCCTGTGAAGTCTGCTCTGGCAAGGGAGACTGCAGCCCGACTTGGCAGAAGAATGACTAGAGTGCTAATTCACGATTGCCATCAAAGTCTAGAACGCTGCAGTTTAGAGATGAACCAATCTAAGTCTTATCTCTGGAGAGCTGTTGGTAAAGAATCGAAGGATATATAGCTGACCATTCTCAGACATGCTCGAAAATACGTGTCAACAGAGACATGGAATTATCTATAAAATTGGAAAAACTTCGAGTACCAAGCTCCGCCAACTCGTCAGTCGACCTTGTCCACAACCTTTCATCTAAAACCCTTACGAGCACACAACTCGCAATCCTGGAAAGTGGAGCCACTTTTAACACAACAGAAGCCGCACCCACAGAGTTTATTGCCGCCTTCGAATCTGTCCTTCAATTAACAAAGGCGTCAGAAGATACGAAAGATTTGATCCGTCACCAAACCTCCTCGTCTTATGCAGCACAAGAGGTGGGAAACTCTTAGCAATATGGAACAGTGAGCAGGGAAAAGCCTAAAAGCAAACAAGGTCATAATTATTCTGCCAGCTGACAAAAGACGTTCAACAGTTGTGCTGGACAAATCAGGTTACCAGAACAAGGTACAGGACTTACTCAAAGACCATCATTCATACAAACAATGTCGTGCCAGCGAAATGAAAAATCTAATCACTCGGATAAACAAAGCCTAAGAAATCTCAGGGCCAAGGGGGCGATTACACCCAACGACTGGTTCTCCATGAAACCCACTGACACCGCCACGGCTCGTTTTTACGGTCTACCGAAGGTGCACAAGGAAAATGTCCCACGCAGGCCAATCGAATCCCTTCGTGGCACTCCGACGTACGGTTTGGCAAAATGGATGTTCGGTCAGCTTAATCTTTTGGCCGAAGGCTCACCAACAACAGTAGCATCTGCGTATCAATTCCTCGAACGCATAAAGCATCGGAAGTTAGAGCCAGACGAGTCCGTGGTATCCTTTGATGTCGTTTTGCCCTTCATTTCCATTCCACAGCAACTAGAGATAGACGTTGTGGACCAACTACTGGCAGTGCGTTATGAGGAGAGAGACAAGCCACTGAATTCTGAGCATATGCTCAAGCTTCTGCGATACTGTCTCAAGACCTATTTCACCTTCGGCGGACAAATGAACGAACAAACAAAAGGCACTATTATGGGCTCCCCTATATCAGGCCTAATCGCTGAAGTAGTTCTTCAACGGGTAGAACACTTGGTGTTCACCAAATATCAACCAAAGTTCTGGGCCCGCTATGTCGATGACAACTTCGTCGTTGTCAAAACAACTGAAATTGAGCACCTAAAGGAACTATTGAACTCGGTTGACCCGGATATCCAATTTACAATGAAAGCAGAAACAAACAACCAACTGCCCTTCCTTGACGTACTTGTGCGACGGTGAACCACTAGACAGCTGCAAACTACAGTATTCCGAAAATCCACCGACACGAGACAGATCCTACACTTCAACTGCAACCATCCTCTGTCTCGCAAACGTAGTTGTGTCCGCACTCTATTCCAAAGAGTCGAAACACACTGCAGCACGCCAGAAGATAAAAGGGCCGAACGATTGTACCTTGGGAACCTATTTGCAGCCAATGGTTATCCCAGATATTTCATCGTGAGAAGCAGACGTTGGTCGCCCAGAGGACGACCAAATGAGCAGCAACCCGAAGTCTGGAGGGCCATTCCTTACGTTAAAGGGGTCTCTGAAGCGGTCTCTCGACTGTTACAACCCACCAGAGTAGGCATAGCCCATCGACGCCAAGCAAAATTTCGCTGTCGCCTGATGCAACCTAAGGGCCCATTGCCACCCGCTGAAACCTCAGCAGTCATCTACAAAATAAATTGCAATGAGGGCGACTGCAACTATGTGGGCGAAACCGGGCGGAAATTGCAAACTCGACTACAAAAACACAAATCGGACACTCGGAGGTTAGACCCTAACTCTCAACTAGCAACACACGTTGGAGAAACGGGGCATACTTTTGACCTCCAGAAGGCTACCATCTTCGGCCGAGGCAACACAAAAGCAGAACGGCTAACTCTCGAGGCGTGGTCCTCCGATGCCCACTCTATAAACAGGCATCTGGACCTTCCTGCAGCTAACAAAGTCCTACGTCATCATAATCGTAGAGCTCAGGACCAAACAGCCATACCGGACTTAAGAAGGCCGTACGGAGATAGCCGGATGCTGAGTTTACTCGGTGAGGAAGAAGAAGAACCGCCAGACTGACCGCCCGACAAAGGTTCAATCAGCTCCCCTCGACGGAGTGGTGACTCACAAAGCACACATGCAAGACGCCCGTCAACCATTTACCCAGAGGCCGAGGCAGAGAGAGGAGAAAAAGATTGATCAGCATAAGGCCGGCCAACACAACATGTCACTTTAGATTAAATTTCTGATCGATTAAGTGCATTTTACGCTTTGACAATGAAGAGCCAACCCAGCTCTTTGAAACGTCAGCACTTAAATAAATCTTTTCCACAGAGTCTATCTTTATCTTCAAAAAAACTTTGTTCCTCAAAGCCCTTTTCCAAGGGGACGCTAGGAGGAAACGGCTAAAGAGACGCCTTGATCAAGCTGTTTCGCGAACCTTCCCAGCAGCAAGAGTTCACATATCATTCTCTACTAACCCTTTTTTACAGGGAAAAGGTACGGATACACTGCCACCGCAGACCACCTCAATGTACATCTGTTCCATCATTTGCCCCTGCCGAGCAGGTTTTATTGGTCGCACAAGTCGGCTCTTATCCAAGCGAATACGGGAACCCCTCCCGGCATGGCTGGGGAAAGGCGAAACGAGGATTACAAGCAGCGCCATTCTCGCGCATGTTGTCGATTTCGGACATCGTGTGGACCCCAACAAAGCTTATCGTGGGATTTATATGGTCCCATCGAACTGGCCTAAGCTACTGGACCAGCGCCTGTTAGCGACAGCAGAAGCGGCCGCCATTAGGTTACAAAAGCCAATCTTACGCGCACAAAAGGACCACGTGAAGGCTCCGCGCCTACAGTGGTCGAAGATCGACTAACGCTGCAACTCTCCCCCCGCCCTTCCACTCTCACCCCGCCCCTGACAGTGACTGCTCTAACCCCTCCTCCACATTCCCACATCCGGCCTGTGTTTTAAGGCGAATTTCAAGCGATTCATCTCATCACTGACATGTTTTTAGTTCTACCCGGTTCCCATATAATTGTACTAGCCTGACGAGAATTTATCGAAAGCTTCGTATGTTCGCCAACTCGTCTTCTGATTACTGATATAAACTAATTGACGCACACGTAGTCGTGCCTGCTTTCAACTCGCTCTGGAGCACACGGGGACCATCGTCGGACACGATGGTCCAACTCACAAATGAAATGCATATAAAATATTATTTGAAGCGGCCGTATCCTCGGAATTCATTCTGTCTTTTTGTGTATTGCTTTATGTGTGTGCTTTATTTGCTGGACAATGACATATTTCATTCAAATAGAAGCCAAAAACTGCTAAGAAGTGCGTGACATTTGGAAGAGGGAATGTATGAATTTGTTGGAAATGTAAGTATGAAAGAAACGCTGGGCGCACATAAAGAGGTATTGTAACAAAGGACAACGATAGTACATTAACCCGCTGCTCTATATCACACAATAAAAACACCTTTTCGGAGGCTGGGTTAAAATTACAATTTTACGGCATCGATCTACTCGACTTCCCTTGTTCATCTTCAGTACGCTATCGGAACATTTAAATAGGTTTTGTCCATTGTTATCATCAAACATTTATAAAATGTCGCTCTGAACGTTCCCTCGAGAAGAGTCATAGATTTCGCCCTCAACAGAACTTGTTGCGAAACATAGTTAACTACACAGTTCCTTGGCAGCTTCTGCTTGTCAGTCTATCCGGAAACCTTAAAGCTCACATTTGTATGTCCAAGCATAACGGTCGAACTACGCAACGGAAAGAGAAGCACCATCTAGTCCAGCAATAATTAATTTTGAAGTTTCAGTTATGAAAGTTGTTACAAAATACATTAATAATATATTGTCATTTAACAGAATGCTTAGGATCATAAAATACACTGACCATGTACAGATAAGCCTGTAGATGTACACTCCGAGACTCATAACTCAGTAAATCAAAACTGTGAATCACATGAAAACCAGTCATTCGCACAGAACTCCCAAGCACAACGCCCAGATAAACGTCGCTATCATCTAATAAAAAGGATTTTATTTGCTTCCTTAGAGGGACAGAAATCCGCCGAAGGAATCCATGTCCGCTTATGCTCGTCTGACCGCAGAAAGGATTCTGTGAATTAATATTAATAAATAACTTACAATTGAGCAACCGCGTATGACAATTTAAAAATATTTTCGTGACCTCTTACTTTAGTAAAAATAATTTAGATATCGCATGAATTGAAATGCAAATGACCTGGAAATCGAACTGCAAAGTAGTTTATAGCAGTTTCAAAGTAAGTTACCTAAACTGGGGAGGTTTGTGTTGAGCCCGAACATAATCCTCGTATTATCGCAAACTTTATAGCAGTCAGTTGTACGACGACTCCTAACACCCTTCTTTAATAATTTAACGCAGTGTTTCGTGAGGTTCTCAAATTCTGACGGCAATTATATGTTCTTTGAACTACAACCGCATATACGCTGCCAAGTTCTTCTACAGTAGATTCTAAAACTACGACTATTTCGACTCTGGTGGGAGTTAAACAAAATGCAGAAAAATCATTGAAGGAACATAGGTGCGTGTCAGGATGTTCAAACAATTTTCCTCTAACATACAACATACACAAAAACTCTTACTGAAATTTTTGCTTCAAATGATTTTTTATAACTGGAAATATTTTATTTTAGTATAAACCAGGCTCTATGGAGAATCTTTAGGACACGGATATGGAGAAATCAGTCATTTTTTACTTTTACTGGATATTGATATGTCTCTAGTAAAAATACAAAAATGTCGTTTATCGTGGGCTTCTAGTGGAAGGTTGGAAATGACTGTCCATCAGATAGAAAAAAAAACATTTTTGTTTTGTTTTTCTTCAATGTCAAACCTCAAAAATGCTACGTACGAATGTAGTTAGGACAGTGAAAACCTACTTATCCCAATCAAGGCTGGCATTTAATTTGTCACTGACGATGTCCGATTATAATCAGTTACATACCTCAACATGGGGGCCAGTCCTGCCAGCATTTTTGTGTTATTGTTAGAGAGGGGCTTTTTCTCCTATAAAATTAATCTAATCGTTTTAACATTTTTAACTGGAGTTCTTTTTTCACCGCTCGCTAATCATTTTTCTTAATGGACTACAAATTCAGAAACTATGAGAATTTTGTACGGATTCTACGCACCGCATCCAGAATTCTTATGTATGTTTATTTTTACTTGCTTTGATTGCACCCCGACGGGTGTTTAATGAAAAAGTATTATTTTTAAATGTATGCAGTAGTTTACTACGTACCTATTCTGACCAAAAAAGACACAAAGTCGCTGTCAGACAGACTACCATCCCCAACGAAAGTCTCGTAACCACACGTTCATGAACTGTGGGGATGTACTAGTCCCGACATCCAATTCATCACACAGTCATTATACCTGGTTCTTTTCACCCCCTTCCGATTATGCCGTATTTTGTGAGCATTTCAATTTGATAAAAGGTGACAATGTATATCCTAGATTTAGTTAGACATAATATTAGCCAACATTTTCGATCAAACCTTGCACCATTTCAACCACTTTATTGAGTGATGCTGTTGACGGATTATGCGCCACAAGGCCTCAAATGAGAGTAAATCTGATCAGAACTTGCAGATGACTGACCAATTAGGAAGCCAGCCTGACACTTGGGCACTCTCGACGAGCTAAGGGTTGCAACAGACACCCGAGCAGGGCCACCACAATGCAAACGGACCTCCTGCGTGTATTAGTTTAACTGGAAAATTGTTATCTTTTATTGGATGCTTGGACCATTGTACTAGAATTACTGTCCGTGGCGTCAGGGATCTCCTGAATTCATGCATATTTCGTGTGTTTCATTTCATGGTAGGTTCGCATTTTAGTATTCCAACGAGTATATTTGTGAGGTCGAGCCTGTAGGACAATGCGAAGCGTATTTCAGTGTATCAGAAACGCATCGTTCGCGGCGGCATCTGCGTACTAGAAAAGGCTTACTGCAATGCAGACCGGTTTCATAACACCGCATGGGATGAAAACGGAAACAGCTTAACAACCCCTCCGTCGCCCATTGACTTTTCCGCCAACAAAAAGCAATAACTACTTCCCTCTTAATAACGTATATGCCATCTAAATACAGCTTCTTCTAGATTATGTTCGTCAGATTAAGTGCAGAGTTTGGAGCAGCTTAAATAATTGAATACCGTGTACCATCCCCATAAACATG